AATTTGCACTCTTGTCCGCGCGAACAGTATCCACGCGCGAAGTCCCTGCACGCATCAATCGCAGGAGCGCCGGGCGACGTAGACCTGGGCCTCCTTGGGGGCTCGCCCCTAGGGCTAGGCGTACGCCGCTTGTCCTGCTCCCGATTCCTGGGAGAGTACTTGTCCCTTCGATGAGGACTTGGGGTATTACCGGTCCTCTTCCTTGGATCACTAGGAGGCCGATTAGGCCTATGGGATTCTCCAAACGGAGATCGTCTCCTGACGGGAGGACCAGGAGCACCAGGTTTCTGGGCTCTGTCCCTGGACTGAGATCGTTCGTAAAAGTCTTTGTGCATATTGACCTGATTCTTACGAACCCTCCAGCGGTCAATCTCGTTCTTACAACGAGCACGAAGCCATTCATAGCTACAAACATCAGGGTTGGATATGTTCCTACTGATATCATGAGCCAAACACTTGAGGTGTCTAACCTTCTCACTGAATAGCGACCGCTTTACCTGCTCGGTCAGCGGTTCATCGAGACCCGCAAGGATGTGATCCCACTTTGCGATGAACCTTTCAAGTCGCTCCTCTTCAGTATAGAAAGATGAAACACTGCATCGCAAGTTCGAGAGCTCAATTATCCTGAATGATTGCTCTCCGATATTCGCAGTCCTTAAGTGGTCGTATAAGAGCCACAGGATCTGCCTACTCTTGATGCGATTGTTGGAGCGTTGAGCGGCTTCGGTGAGACGATTAATCTTATCGATAATTGCAACAGTCTTGATGCACTTCCGAATGGCTGCATTGAACCTGGCTTCAAGGATGTGGTATTTACATTCCCCATCCAGTTCATCAAAGGTCTTTGCCTTCTCGACTTCAGTTAGCCAATTGATGACGTAAAGTCCATCATAGCTGTAGGCATTGCTAACAGCTTCCTTCATATTGGCTATCCATACCCTCAGCCCAGCCGCGTCGGGCTCTGGCGGGAGGTCTATGGGAATGCACTTAGTCGCAGCTGTACAGTTCGGATCATGGTGGCTACTGTACCCGCCGCCACCAGTTCCGAAAAGATGCTGTGGAACCTGAGAACTACCGATTGACAGTGCACATACAGGACAAAGGCGAGTAGCCTTCGGAATGCAAATCTCACATGCCCTTTTCATGCATATCTTACATTCCCCAATTTTGCTGGGGTCAGGAATATCCCGATCACACATCCGACAGTTCTTGTCAGGAGGATCGGGGCCACGCATGGTCGGCGGCTCAAGGCCTGAAGGATCCTTCGGCCTTGTACCGTTGGGATCAAATCCTGGATAATATCCGGTTTCACGTTTATCCAGGGGCACAGGTTGCGTAGCCTTCGGAGGGCTCTGAAGGTCAGCCGCGTTGGGTTGACCCCCAGTGGGAGTGTCACGGAATCTGTCAACGGGTGGCCGCAGAGGCGGCGAGTACGACCGCGTCGGGTTCGTCTCAGGTGCGCCTCGCGATCTATTCCTGACACGGTTACCATCGGGATCCCTTCTTCTCCTAGTTTCGTCCCTAAGGCACGCAAGACAACAGGGACCCTGGACAAATCCAAATCTCCTGTAGTCGTCCTGCCCAGCAGAATGTCTGGTGCAGTAGTAGGTCTTACAAAACTGACACTCAATTCCCTTGGTCAGGAACGAGCTCTCCCTACAGACTCCGCATCGGGGTCCGTTACGGGAACATTCTTCACACAGGTTCTCTTTAAACGAGAAACAATACTCACAAATATCACCTCTGCATCCCTTGCAGTGAAACTCAGCCATGAGATGATTATATCCATCACCTACGTATTTACATCTGGGTTTACCAGGGTTGCCAGGGTTCCCACCGGCGGCACTCTTCTTCCCCCCTCCTCCTGGGCTTTGCCAATCTGGAGGAGGAGGTGGTGGAGGATCATCATCAGGAGGGCCAGGTGGAGGTGGCCGCTTATCCGGAGTACGGGATGCGGCACGCCTTCCTCCTGTGTGATCGTTCAATCCACTACTTGAGGCCTGGTTCGAGTGCCTTGACTCTAGGGAGTTAATTCTCTGGGCCGTATTACCCAGCACCTCGAGCATTTGCTCGAGCTTACGTTGAGCGTAGTCGAAACGGCCATGTTATGAGTATTTTGCTTGTCCGTGTAGGATTTGCAGTCCCTTGACTTTATCTCAAGGTTGGCGTGTGTCTCACAAAGTTGGTCTTTAACCCACTTTATGCCGTCCCTATCATTGGCCCAGCGTTGTTCGACATCTTGCATCATCCTATCAATCTTACATACCCTAGTGGCCAGGTCCTCGATTTTGAGGTTTACTCCACCAATCGCAGGATGGTTGGATTGGCTCTCCACTAGAGATCTCTCGATCATATCAACACGAGCTATAAGCCCGGTTACTCGATCAGAAAGAGATTCAAAAACAGTTTGAACCTGGGTGATGGAGCGAGCAACATCATCATAGCTGGCTCGCTCATTTAGGGCATCGCCTATGCTTATCATGCGATTGGAAACGATCTTGACGCGTTGGCCAGGCTCGGTCACGATGTCCTTAGTCCCTTGTGACAGCTGCATGGCCGCGTTTGCAGCCTGCGTACACGTGCTACTCACATGGACGCATTGGTCGTATTTGGCCCTCCACGAGTTAACCTCAGTGGAGAGCTGCTTGATGCATTGATCACTTCTATCATTCCTACGCCCAAGGTCTTCGACCTTAGCAACCAGGCGGTGAATGATCGCACTTACCGAAGAGTCCACTCTCCCTCTTTCAAGGGCTGTTACAAGATCAGCAACCTCGTTGGGTTGCTCCTCACTCGTAGGACCAAATCCTGATCCACGATCTCGAGGAGTGGACAAATCAACCATGATTGGATTAGATCTCGGAGGAGTTCTGAAATCATCCGGCCGTTGATGGTCGTGGGAACTCACTCCGATTAGGAGATTGACTCTGATACGGAGCAGATCTCCTAGCATCACGAACCGCAGAGGGTTGTGTCATGCCCAGGCCTTTGGCCACTGACAGTTTGGGAACAACAGGCCTATCCGTCCGCATAGGAACATCAGGTCTCGAGTCAGCAATAACAATGTCATTCAAGTCGGTCGCATTGGACACTCTAGACTCAGACATCGATTCAATATCAGTCGCATTACTGATGGTATGATTGCGACTAGAACTTGATGCCATCATGGACTCAGATTCTATCGGAACATTAGCTCCGTCCATGTCGTCCAGAGCGAAAATGGAAGCCGCGTTGGGCGTAGGGCGAACACCTTGTGCGTTCAAGCCACTTGACCTATTAAATTCCTCCTGGAATGCTTCGATCCCATCAAGCACGTTAACGAGTGTGTCCGCGTTTAACGGGTCTCTGCCAATGATCGACGCTGGATCACCTGATCGACCGCGTCCTGAGTCCCGCGTATTGGGGTTACCCCTGTGGGCAGTTTCCCGATCCATCCCCCTTGCCCTATGCGATCCAGTCGAATTTGACCTTGATCGTTTGCTTGGGGTTGGACTGGGATGCAAATCCAATCTATCTACGATATTGCGCTCCCTAGGGCTCTCAAATCCTGAAAGTCCCGGGGGAGGGGACATGTTCCTCATGGTCGGGTTTACTGACGGCCTTGGCCTGACGTTACGGCTGGCCACGTCAGGATTGAGATTCTCAATCGACAAAGGTAGCATGAATTCATCGCTTCCAGCAGCCCGTTTTGGGCTTTGGAATTGCGGGAAAGATGACGGGGCGGGTGGCCCTGGCATCCATGCGGCAAAATCCATACCAAAAATGTTTCCGTCGTCGGGCCATGAGGCTCTCCAATCGAGCCCACCGGATTCGGTCGGCAGATGAACGTCAAATGCAACTCCACTGGATGCACCAGGTTCGGGATTACCGAGCACTTGAAAAGCTATGCTACTGGTTGGCACAGGTCTACTGCTGCCTCGGGAGTCACGAATTTCGGACTGACCAATATTCATCAGCTCGGGGAAAGATGAGGATTGAGCTCCAGGTGCAATACCGGGCTCGTCATCATCACGTCCTGAGACGGAATCATCATGGCCAAGACGATTAGACCCATGACCCTGAGAGCGATTAGCTCTTGAGGCATAAGACGATAGATCATCAGTGCGAGTAGCACTGGATCTTTCTGAAGGCATTGCTTCTGAAAAAGAGTGGTCCGACAAAAAGTCAGGACCGGAAAACATCGGCAATCCGGGCACTTGGTCGTCATTCACAACGTCCAAGATTCCGGCCTGGCCGAGAACCCATTCGTCGGTCACCACATGAGGTCCATCCTCAGTGATTCCCGCCATGACGCCTACAGAGACCTACGGTACCTGCAGGGTTATTATTAAAAGGGGTTCGCGGTGCCAACCGAGGACGAATCCTACGGCTGATAACCTGCGAAAGGGTTTGAAACAGAGTTTCGGGATGGATAAAACAGGCCCTAACCCACCAACAAGAAGAGACCACCTTATCCCCCCGGTCCCAAGGGCAAAGCAGTTGCCCCCGGCCGGCACGAACACGAACCAAAAGGGGTGCCTCGTTGTAACAAGAAGGAACCAAGCAGAAGCGCAGCACAGCGCAAAGCAAGCAAGCAAACCAGCAGCAAGCAGCACCAAGCGAGCGAAGCGAGCAAGCGTGCAGAAGCAAAACAAAGGGCGACCTCCCAACTCAACACCCGACCCACCTCCACGAAGACCCGGACCACGGCCTGTCAGCCCCGCGCACTTTTGCACGAAGATGATGGCCAGTGACGCCGCGAGCGAGTGACGAGATGGCAGGTGAGAACTGCCGGAGATTAAACTTGAGCCAAAATACCGCGTTGGGTATTGGCGTACTACAAACTGCTATGATAAAAGTACATGCCCCCAAAAACAAAAACAAGTTGAAGCAAGCTGAGCGGCCAAAACCCCTCGACTTTCTGAAACAACAATCATGATTACAACTACAACGGTTTCTGTAGGCTTTACCAGAGCCCTGACCGGGGCTTCGAATCCAAGCTGAAACACCGCCAGGCGCGCTGGAAGTTCCCCGAAGAAACCACTGCTGCAAAGTCCCGAAGAGGGCAGCCTTGGACCTGGGCACGTTCGACGCAACTCGTAGCTCCCAAGATACCTATCAAGGGCACATGGAGTGATTGGTCTATCTAGGTGCCCGGGGAAACCGAATGGAAGCCATTTTCAGGGTTCCCAAGACCTCACCGTTGCAAAGGAAGAGTTTTATTGGGCGGACACATGTTCGGCATGGAAACATGGAACCTGCAAGAATAAAAAAAAAACTGCGAAAAGAAGCCTGAGAGAGAATCTACAAATCCCAATGGAACGTAAGAAGGTTCGTGCAAAGCCAAGCCTGCGCACATGAAATCCTGGAGCAACCCCTTCGTCATTTCAAAAAAAAAAAAAAACAAGTGACCTTTCCGCGAACGATTGAACTTGCACGTTCAAACCTGCAAAGAAAACAACCACTTGTCTAAGGAAAATATCGCTGAAACTCATCCTCAGACCTGCACACTCGAACCAACATCGCATAAAACACACGTCAAGGGAAAGCAATGCTTAAGCTCATGACCTGCGCACACAACCCACAAGAAGTACCACAGGCGCAAACTTTGTTCAGAGACAAATCACGCATCACTGTCGAATGCAAACTCTTACCTGAACGCAATGCCATGAACGCCCGTTGGCAGCAAACAGTGTATGTCTCCATGGGAACTCCAAAGCGCCACGCCGGTAAAGGAGTTGCCGCTATGCAAACTCCAAGAGCTGCCTCGAACGACTGTAAGGGCCGACAAACACAGAATAGGGCTGAAGGATGCGATTAAAACAATTTGTTCTGATTCTCGGAGACTATAAGGACTGATCTAGCCCGTTGTACTTATGCTGCTGCGCTCTGTCCGTGCCCTCACAACAAATCAAAGAACCAAAGCCCTGCGTAAATGCGTTTGGAGGAGAAGGCACCATGAAGCGAAGACACGAGGCAGATTTGCATGTGTAGGATGCAAGCCAAGCTTGACTGCCAACTGCCAAGCTGGGAAGGTTCGATGGGTCTGGAAAAGCGCACGCCAAGCAATCATGCGTTGGCTTGTTTTGCGAGGCATGTTTGTGGGCGGCCCAAGCAGCCTTACGCAACCTAAACTCGAGGGAACCCACCTGTGAACTTGAATCAGGCTTAGACTTGCATGAGCCGTCTGCACCATCTTCCCAGTTGGAGGCGGCTGCACAAAGATCATTGAGGAGAATACCAAACTTTCCCAGGCCAAAACAAAACTCTTTGACTCGTGCCCCAGTTATTTGTTCACAAGCACAGCGGCCCTAAACCTAGCCTTTGAAACACCATTCTTCAGCGGCGCCCTTCCAAATGCTAGGGCGCCCCGAATCAGTTGGCAAAAGCGAAACACCCAAACCACAGCCGAAAGTGGAAATGGGAACGGGAATGGGAATGGGAATAGGAATGGAAATGGGAACGGAACGAGAATGTGGGAGTGGGAAGGGGAGTGGGAATGGGAACGGGAATTGGAATCGGAACGGGAACGGGAATGGGGACGGGAATAAGATGGGATTGGGAATGGTGCCGCGCTCTAAGGGAAGGTCCTCTATCTTTCGCCCAGTTTCGGACTTCTTCTTTTTGGCCACGCTCCGTGGGTTCAAATGGATTCCTTCCGGATGCCGAACAGCAAACAACATGATCCTTCGGCGCAAGCGATCGAAACACATTTGTTGGGGTGTGCATTTTGTTGTTAAGGGTGCTGTTTTTTTTTAGAGTTCTTTAAGCAAACAACAACAGACAACTATGTTTGCAGTTTCCCCGATGTTGACACATACCCATACAACAGGTCTTTTGAACTCCCCTTCTCCTTAGGTCGCCACTAGCACAGTGTGGAACACTTCCGCCTCAGAGAGACCTGGCCACTGGCGCTTTTGCCAGACCATGCGTTGCACAGACATCATGATCCAAAGTCCTTCTTCACATGGTCATAGCTCCTTAAAAGGAACCACTACATCTGCTAACGCGCAATCGTCGTCCGCCTGCTTGGAAGCTCCGGCATCCGAGGCACCCGTCCAGAGTTGGTGCAAACGGCGAAGCTACGGGAAAGCGCTGCTGTAAGAGCGTTTGCAGCAAACTGGCCAGTGCCCTCACCATTTTGCCGCGCTTCCATGGCGGCATCCCCAGAGGTCTATCGTATGTTAGCTCCGTTAAGACCATCCGTCTGGCAGTGTTATCATTGTTCACCGACTTGAACAAGGGCGCATGCAGAGAAAACCTGTCATCATTGAGGAACGCTTCTCGGTCGGAACAACTTGCCCAGAGTCATGACGCATTCCCGATGTTCGCTGCGACACGGGCAATGCTTCTCTCTGCAAGGCAAACCGCCGAGTCATTCTTGGCTGAGGGCAAAACCGCCACCCCGCAACGATCAAAGCGGTTGAATTGATACCAGCCCAAGCAGTTGGGGCACGCTGCAAACAAAACAAGATTCCTGGAAAAGTCTCACATGTGTGTGCCCTCCCTTCATAAACCTGACTAACGAAGACCATGTTGATTGAAAGGGACCCTGTCTTAGTTTGCAGTTGGCTATAGTTTGGCGGAATGTTTCCCCGAGTGCGTTCAGCAACATTACAGTAGATGATCAGGGCAAAGCATCTAGTAAAAGCTAGGGTAAGCTACCTGGTTGCTTATTGTGTAGTGGCAACTGGAAGCACTAGGCCATGATGTGAAAGCCTGTCCCAAGCGTGGCAGCGTTGGCAGGGGCTAGGGGTTCTTCCTCTGGAAGTAGCATGGGCGTAGCCCTGGCAGTCGGACAGCTCAATGTCTGTCAGCAAAGCTGGCTCGGATCCCTGTGCCATGGTCAAATCTTTTTGTGTGGGCCATTCATGTGTCCCTTGCCAAAACCTTTGCATGGGTTGACCAACATTCCTTCCCTCTAAACCAGAACCAGGAGCACCCTGGTAAAAGGCAGCCCCCATATGCTCGTGACTCAGGAGCCGATTTGCAATGTGTTCGCAAACGTTCTCAAAAGGCTCCTGAACACGGCTAATGCCTTTATCCCTCCGTCAAACGGCAAGGATCAACGGGTTTCCCCATTTAGGAGAAAACAACAGCGAACCAAGGACTTTGAAGCCAGTCTTGGGCACACATGCCTTGCAAACGGACCAAATTCGTCAAATGCTACTTACAGTCAAATGCAACTTACAATTATAATCACATCACAGGAAGTACATCTGGCATCTAGTGGTACCAGTGTCCTGCGATTTCATGGTCAGAAAGCTTTAGATTCCCTAAAAACGGATATTGTAAGAAACAGGGAAACAGCGACTCCGTCCATGCTTTGCTTCGATCAGTCACCGGCACCATGGAAAACTGTGTCCTCACTCTAGGCAACATGGATCCTCACTCTAGCCATCCTTGGGTGTCACAGGGGGTGCAACAAATCATCAACGCCCATCCGATTTGGTTTCCCTTAATATAAATGTGCAAGAAAAGGCTATTTTGCACTTAGTCTTGTTCCCATCTTCATAAATCATGACCCCTCTCCCTCGCTCGAACTCCCCTGCCTCATCCCAGGAATCGGCAGATGCCTGGCTGAGAGGAGAGACCCGCAAGCGGACCATGGCTTTCAATTACGCTGACACAGAAACCTTGGGTCAAATGGTTTATCCGCTTTTGGCAAATTACAGTGACCTCCCTGGTGGTCGCCTAAAAGCATTGAGTCAAACTAATTTGAAACCGTTTGTTCCCCATTTTAACACAAACTAACTAGCCACGGCCTCCAAAGGAAGGGGACGATTTCGGCGGGCCCCAAATGGGAAATTTGAGTGGTCCCTTCTCGTCCTCCCCAACCTGAGCAAATGACCCTACACAGACTTTCTCTCGGACGCTACTCTTAAGTTTGTGCAAGGGAAAACATGCCTCCGCAACCTGTATGCTGGGCTTTCTTGAACAACCTACGCGGAAGACCTACGCGGTAGTTTTCCCATCAGAATTGCCTACGCGGTGCCTCCGCGGCATGCAGAGAGCTCATGTTTCCTAAGCGAATATATCAAGAAAACTCTGCTCACATCTTTATACACTTTTCCCGTGGGTGGTGTCAGGTATCTTTCTGCAAACCCTTTCCGATGGTTTAACTGGCTGCATGGGAGCTTCCCATTTGCTCGTTGTATGGTAAAATAGATAAGCCCTCAGTGACTGGTACCCGGCAAAGCCCGGCCAATTGTCTCCGTCCGACAGTTCAACGATTCTGCAATCTTTACTATGACTCCAAAAGCTGAATTAAGAATCGGATCCCCGAGTAAAGGAATGTGGTGTTCTGGTTGTACCCCCGAATCGGCGAGCTAGCGTCATTAAAAAAAAGCAAGATCCACTTTGTTCATGGCCTGGGAGAAGGCTGGAGAGCTCGAACGCGACCGGGAGCTGGAAGACCGCGGGGTCAATGCCGCAGTAGACGCCCTCGGTCGAGTGAGATGGGCTAACGAGACGTGGTAAACGTGTTGGCCTTTTGCCTGGGTCGGTATTTAAAGTGTAGACTGTTAGTTGCTGTTGAACCATGGGTGTCCCTTTGTTTTTAGATGTTTAAAGGGGAAACCACAAGGAAACAGCACCATTTTGGGGGACCGTCGGACCGCAACTTTTGAGAAAACAAATCCATGATCTTCCCCAAGCGTTAAAGTCCAATGGAATTCGCCAATTTGTGGGCCAGGGTGGCTCCCTTTGGACTCCTTGGTCTCAGGGACCCGGGTTCTCCGTGGGATGTCAAACAAAGAACGGGTCTCAAAATTCGTCCAAATTCTGGGATCCTGAGGCCTTGGAGACTACGAGGGTCCACCGGCTCAAAGCCCCAAACTGCCACCCCAGTTTGGGGCCACCCCTTCCCAGACTTTCAAAGGTCCAATGTTTTGAGGGGTCCAATTTTTTGAGGAGCCCTGACGTTTAAAACTAGCGCAAACCGACTCCGGAACTGGGCTCAAACTGGGCCGCTCATAACATCCCTCAAAAATCAGTATTGTGTTTTGAGTGTGGATAGAAAGGAAAGCAAGTCACGCAACTGCAATGCTCCAATCCTCTGATTGCTCGGAATCTCCCCGGCAGGATACCGAACAAACAGACTTCCCCCGTGACCCAAACATATTGCCAACACCTGAATCCGAAAAGCTCAGATTGGATTGCGCCTTGCAAGCGTGCCCGTAGTGGATTGGAGGTTGCGTCAAGTGCAACCGCATTCCGCTGTGCATCTGTTCGAGTGGCTCTAGGGCGGTCTCCTTGTGACGCCCTCGTAGTTGTTGGGGTTGGCCTCCCAGTCTAGGTTCAGCTCGACCATGGCTTTATACACCGCTCATAAGGACTGATTGAAGATTGCGCTGCTGGACCTTGATGCCCAGGCTCAGCCACGACATGTCTCAGTAAAACTCTCATTTGCGAACATTTGGAGGTGTGTGTGTGTGTGTGCTTGTTTGTTTGCTTTTTTGTTTGCCTTTGTTTTTGAGATTACCCGTTTCACCACGGTTTGAAGCAAATTGGAACCAAAGAAACACCACCATGTTTGGAGTCCCCCGATGAGACACGTACCCATTTGTCCCGGATGAGTCGGTTTACAAACTTGAAATGAGGAAAACCCTTCGAAAGGATCGTCCATATAGCTCAGATCATCCTCAAGGCGTCCAATGTGACATAAGCAAAACATGGCAATGGCCAAACAGCTGACCAAGATCCACAAAGGGACTATTCTAGGGGTTGATTCCAACCATTATTTTCAACCATCGTTCTTTCCAAAAACCGGCCATTTTCCCTGAAGTTCCAGAGGTTTTCTAGAAAAAAGGATCGCTGGAAAGAATGGGGAAGGTACCCCTAGAACTGTACAATGTCTAAGCACATTCAGAGATTACACAAGCAAACATTGGTCCTTTATCAATGTGTGCCCCTAACTGTCTGTCTACAAAATGGTCAGTGAACACAAAGCCCCATGTCCACCAAAGCGGCCCCAGTTAAAAACTCACAAGACAGGCTGATGGTTTGCAGAAGAGCTCTCAGAAAACATGCCACCGCTGTGTCCCAAACATGTTTTTATGCGACACCTCTCAAATTGCCAGCCCTTCAGACTCAATTTTCAGAAACAACTGACAGCAACTGCCTGAGCCTCGACTCTGATATGGTTCAACACTGGGTTCTTCCCAACAAGGCAAACCCAAATCCGAATTCGTTCTCCAATCTGGGGCTGACGCTTCAAACCACTTCCAATCTGCGGATTGACTTTTGAACCCTGCCCAAACCTAAAGGGGTCCCTGGATTTCAAAGCCAAAGGGGGGCTGCGGCTCGTCTCCGAGAAGGAAACTCCAAGTCCATGCTTGAGGGCGTCGCGTGGATGGTTTCGAGCGCCTAAAACATCGGACCAATCCATGGGTTTCCTCCAGTGAGGTCCCTTCACTCTCTAAATTGCAACACAATGCTCCATGCCCATGTTGACTTGGACAAATCGAGATGGAAACCCATACATTCCACTTGACCTCCAAAAACCATCCCAAGCCGAGCGAAGCTTAGGCCACCCGCGTAGCTGACTTTTGCAGCTTCTTCGGATCTTAGCCGCGGCAAATGCAATGGCCGCCCAGTTGAAAGAAACAAATTGGCTGAAGTAGTTGGCTCGCAGTGGTCGTGCTAGCTGAACCATTGTTAAAACATTGTTAGACCTTGTCAACTTGTCCCTTTGACAACAAGCAGCCACTGACAAACAGCACCTGAAGGTTGCCTACAGGCACAACCTGCCATGAAAAAGGCTCCGGGAGAATGTGGGGTCAGTGAACACCTAGGTAGGCCCTACGCAACTCTGAAATATGAAGAGCATGACTGGTCCCCTGATTTTGCCACACTCGAAGTCAGCCCCAAGATGCCGGTGAGAGAAAACTTGCACCAAATGTTGACCTGCATCCTTATTCTCATACTCACCCTTTGCTTACACACACAAAGTTGGCTGGCAACATCTGACCTCACTTCCCCAGTCACCCCAAAACAGTGCAAACTGCTTGCTCACCGCCACTAAAATAAAAATCGCAAAAGGAGAACTGCGTGTCAAACAGAGGCAAATGGTCTAAAAGATACTCAACATTACACGTTCCCTTTCGATGTTCTTCAGGGGGAACAACAAAAACAGCAGTGCACGTGCTGAAATAGGGGGACCCCCAGAATCGTGATTGTCCATTTGGCTTCCTTAACCAGCCCGGGTGTACCCAAAGCCCAAAGTCTCTGAGGCCGGCGCTGGGTAGGCAAAGTTTCCCCGAGGATGACGCCCCTGTCCGCTCCGGACGGCGTCAAGGAGCTTCGGCACAGGAATCCAGAGGGCAATGATACGTCTTCTTTGGTTCCTTTGCGTTGATACACGGAAGAACAGGACTCAACTGGCCGGTTTCCTTTAGAGCTTTATGATACTCGATGTTTCGCTTCAACTTTTGCGCGGTGTGTTGACAAAACACCCGGAAGGGGGCCAAGGCTCTATGTAACCTACCATGTCTTGCTTGGCGGACACCGGGAACCACCTCACGGTACGCTCGATGCACGCGCCCTTGCATGCCTGTCGGGTGGGGATTTCTGAATCTTTCAGGGAATCTCTGGGCAAACAATAAGATATGCATTGATTGCATATGACGTTGCATTTCTGCTTTGTGTCCAATGTCCATGTCTTTTGGATGAGGAACTGGACCTGAAACTGGCTGATAGGTACTCCAAACCTGTGTGAGACCCTAAGGCCATATGCTGCCATGAATTACACATACGGCTGGAGTGGTAAATACGCACGAATGTGTGTGTGCCTAAAATAGTCGACTGAAAATAACTGGCTGTTGCTGTCTCGACCACTGTGCACAAGACCCAGGAGAGGGTATCTTCAACTAAGACCTGCTCAAGTCCCTAACAAGACTTCCTTTTTCATGACATGCTGTCCATCCAAATCGAGGCCAGCACCCGACTTCAAATCTTGTAGTGGGGAAGAGATCAGAAGGAAACATTCTGATACATGAATCCCAGGTTGAGGCAATGTAAAAGCGGTGAATGACAAGTACAGGTTGTGGGGGTAAAAGTCTTGGCATCTGTGCAATGCAAACTGCATTTATCTGATGTCCATTCAAGGCTCTGCTCGGCTAACATGTGAACCTACAATGCTATGCTGACCCTCCATGGGACTCAAGGGGCGGACACCAGCAAGTCAAAATGAACATCAGCTTGGGCAGTGTTTACCGCGGTTCTGCATTTGATCATTCACGACGGTTGGGTGTTGTGTAGCAAGGTCTCTCCACTGCAAAGGAGTTGTTGGTGTCCACGGTCATGCCCAAGCCAGCAAAAGCTACCCGAGATCGGCCAGCGGCAAGCCAGGCAACCCATGCGCAAAGTCCAAACCATAATCTATGGAGATGGTGTACCTGAGCTTTGATGCAGTGCAAGAGAACTCTCCACCCCAGAAGCCGGGTGTATAGGTGTATATATATATATATATGTATAAAGGTAGCCACACATATACAAATGTTACATATGTGTCATATATATAATATGAATACTTATATCTGTGTATGCAAGCTAACCAAACGGCACCACACACAAGCACGCGATAACTCTTTCATCCGAGCAGTGTGTTGGTGCCAGGGACTCATCTTCCCCTGTCAGATGTCAAAGGCTGGGTGGGCCCCATGGGCCCCCAACTCACAATCTCAAAAACTGAAGAACGGGTGTGCAGACTGATAGCGCCCGCCCCTGAGCCGGGGCCCGTGGCACCCAGGCCACAGGGGGGTCTGCCACCAGGGGAAGTGAGTCACCCACCGGCTCCGGTCACGGGAGCATGGGTGGGCCCACGCTAAGATCAAATGCATCTCCATTCAGGAGACGCGGGAGAAAAACGAAATCCTCGCAGAGTTCCTGCTTGGGGACCCTGTGCAAAGGGTCGAACCCAGAGAAATCTGGGTGCGTCAGCTCGTCAGCCCATTGATTGAATTCTCGGGGCACGTGGTTGGCCGCCAGCGAGCAGCCATGGGTGTGGAGCAGGAAGACCAGCTCCATCAGGATCGCCGCCGTGTAGGGCTTCTTGGATCCAAGGTTGAGCATCGCCATGACGTTGCCCTGATTGTCACTGCCCACCGGGAGTCGGACCCGGGAGGACAGAGGGCCTTGGTGCGTGAGGATCATGTTACAGAGGAAGAGCGTGCCCAGCATCTCCAGAGCCGCAATCCTCCGCTTGGGATCCCCATTCTTGAATGCCCAAGGGTACTCCTCCACGTGGATCTGCTCGTGGAACCAGTACACCTCCTTCTTTTCCGGCTCCACTTTGTTGGAGCACCAACCTCCCACAAATGCCAGTCCTTCGTCCGAGGCGCTAGCATCGCTGCAACCCCACCAAGAGGACTTCGGCAAGTAAGGGGAGTACTGGACGAAGGGCGTGTTGAAGAGGAACCGCAGCATGAACGCCAGCATCCTGACCACCTTGGGGGGTTTCCCCACCGTGGTGGTGGCCATCTTCCAGGCCCAAAGTGGCTGGAGCATCGACTTCGCCAGCGGACATGCAGCAGTCGCCCATTGGATGCGACCCAGGGCCTTCTCGATGTCCTTTGAGTGCATCGCCTGCCCTTCCACCATGGTCTGCAAAACCTCCATAACCAGGATGTGTTTGTTGGCGGCCATGAGAACCTGCGGGATGTTCGGGTGGACCACGAAACCCAGCCACGTGTTAACCTCCGCCAAATGCGTCTTCTTCCAGCTAAGCGGGGTGCCCAAGGCCAGGAGTGTTGCCAGCAGCGCCACCGCCAAGTTTACTGCCCCTTCGCTTCGAAGCAGCCACAGGAAGTCATCGACAAAGACGAAGTTCCAATCCACTTGAGGGAAGAGTGCGTAGAGGACCCTGAGTAGAAGGGCTGCCAGGCGTCCCCAGTAGGATTCATGCCATATGTGCCTACCTTGTTCACCCACCATTCTTCCGTTAGTGAGGCTACCTGGAACCGCCAGTCCTTCCTGAGGACCTTCACTCTCCGGTGGGCCTTGGTGACGTCCGCCTTGAGCAGCACCCACCTGGTGCCCGGCTCCGGCCATAGCCAGCCCCCAGGTGGAGGTTTGACGACCCCCCTCTCGGGGCCAGGGCACCCTGAGAGGGGGGTCCCTCCGCAGCTGCCGCATGTAGCCAATGAAGAGCTTGTACCCCATCCAGCACCGTCGGAGCCGTCGTCCTTTCCACCGTCTGGTTCCTGATGGTGTCATTGGCCCCTCCCACCGAGGCATCGTAGATGGTGCGGATCTTGTCCCCCTCGTCGATGCCCGCTAGGGGGCCGGGACAAAGGTGGTGTTGGGGGACTTCCCCTTGCCGCCCTTGCCCTTCGGCTTGGACCGGGTCGGCCCCGAGGGTCAGGAACCTTTCCCCCCCTTCTTGGGCTTCTCCCACTGAGTCTGCCACACCTTGGGTGCCTTGCCCTTGCTCTTCCCCTTCTCCGGCGCCCTGTTGAGGTGCTCATAGACCTCCCGTTGCCAGAAGAGGAAGTCGCCCCTGATATTCTTGAGGGCATCGGAGAGAGTGGTGCCCTGGTGCACCATCTCGTGGATCTTGCGCCATGCATTGCGCTCTGCGAACAGCAAGGTGGTGTCGCTCGGGGGAGGCTTCCTGCCGGCGATGTCTTCCCCATAGAACCAGGCATACCAATCATCCAGCTCCTCCTTGGTGACCTTCAGGTTGCCAAACTGTGGCAGTGCTGCCGTGCACATCAAGAGCGTCGTCCTGAAGGTTAGGTGCAATCGTTCCAGCTGGCGCCGGGATGTAGGGTGGCTCCTCACCTCTTCTTCATCCTCCCTGTCCCATCCGTCCACCGTGATCTTCTTGTGGGTGGATGAGGGGCGTTCCCCTTCTTCCGGGAGCGCGCTCACGATGTGTTTCGCCGGGATGTAGCCCAGCTCACCCTTGGCAATCATGCGCCACTGCTTCTTGAGGTAGCCATCACTCCCTTGGAACTCCAACCTCGGCTTCGGGGTCCCATGCGTGGCCACGTAAGCATCTTCCAGCTGGCGCCTGTCACACAGGACCTCCAAGGGCGCCTTTGTCGGGCCCGCCTGGCCCGCCGGGTGATCACTTGGTTGCCCCCCCGGACCAAGTTGGCTGCCACCCGAACTGCCTGAAGGAGGCGCATCGCCGTGAAGGCCGAGGTCTGGGCGTTGAACCCGTTCTCCCCATCCCGGAATCCCAGGTCCCGGGGACCATTCTCCCTAGCCGCCGCTGGGGTGTCCCAGCGATCCGCCAGGTCTTCCACCGTGACGTATCCCGATGCGCCCAGAGCCGCCTGGGTGGCCCAGGGGATTTCCTTCCCCACCAGGATGGCCGCCAGTGGCTTGTGCAACTTTGCCACGTCCTCCTTGAACTCCGCTGGGACCTCCTCCGGTGGTTTGGCCGCCATGACCTCCGACCTTGGTGTGGGTGGGTGGGTTTTTCACACAAATTGGGTTCAAAGAACCCAGGGCAAAGCTTGAGCCAAAATGGCATGCGCCATTATGGTCAAGCATTGCAAACACAGTTCATGTTTCCACATGCGTTTCAACATTAACAAAGTGTATGCAAGCTAACCAAACGGCACCACACACAAGCACGCGATAACTCTTTTATCCGAGCAGTGTGTTGGTGCCAGGGACTCATCTTCCCCTGTCAGATGTCAAAGGCTGGGTGGGCCCCATGGGCCACCCAACTCACAATCTCAAAAACTGAAGAACGGGTGTGCAGACTGATAGCGCCATTTCCGAAGGACAGTCTGGCACACCCGCCATTTCCGAAGGATGCCAGTCTGTGCTGAGGGCCCTGGCCAGGGCCCTGCTCCGGGCCTCCCATCCCCTTGGTCGCCAGGGCCGGGGGCACCAACGGTAGGGCCACCACCTCGGTCTCCGACTGGGTGTCCACCGAGTCATCTGTTTCAGAGCCCGAGTCCGCCAACAATTCCGAGTCCTGCTGCAGTGTGGGGACCTCCGCAGGTTCCAGTGCCCAGTCCGCCGGGAAGCCATGCCTCTTGAAGCAACGTTCGCACTTGCCATAGGCCTCCTGCTCCGTCATGTAGTCCAGCACCGAGAGCTCCTGGACCTTAGAAGCCGCCGGTCGCCAACCACACCCCACAGCCGTGCCTTCGACATTCAGCAGGTGGATTCTGGACTGGCCGGCGTTGCCTGTGCGTTTGACCGCCGCCACCACCCGAAGGGGGAGGTCCGGGGTGGCGGGAAACAGGTCCTTAGCCTTCACTCCTCGGGTCCGTGTTCCACCACTGACCATGAGCGAGTCGATGGCGCGCT